GGGGGGGGGCTGCCATAGCTGCAGAACAGCTGCAGAAGTTAAAGGGCTCCTTGGCTTTTTTCATGGTGAGATTTCGCTCTAAGGGAAACACACAATGCTGCTTCTTATATCCAAAGGAAGCTGGAGGGTTTTTTTTCTGAATACTGTACTGAACTATTTACTGTCTTATAGATTTCTGTGTCAAACGCTTAACGTGTTTGATTCTATTTTGTGTTTTGTATGTATTTGCAGAATCATGTAGTCAATTTTTTTTTGTATCTGAAGTCTGAGCGTATCAGTTCAGTACGGAAACTTCTGAGGTTTTTACTTTCCTTTGCACTTCATTAATAAACAGTGCAGGGTGAGCATCATGCTGAAGCAAAACAGAACTTGCCAATTTAGGGAGGTGGTTTATCATTTCAAAATGTCTGGAAAGTTGGCTTTGTTCCTGTAGCAGAAGAGTGCAGCTCTTCAAAAAATAATATTAACCATTATCCTGTGTAGTTACAGTAGTGTCACTAAGTGAATACATAGATTTATGATGAATTTGCCACAAAGTTTCACATTTTTGTCTGGAATTGTAATTGAAGTGTTTTCCCTAGACAGATATTTTTATTTCAACATCTGGAAAAATATTATTAGAAAAACTTCTTTTAGAGACAGTAAACAGATGCCAAATGTGCCTGAAATTCCTCTTCTGTATGTTGCAGTAATTCTCATCTACAAGATCTTAATCACTCCAGGACATTAAAAGTTAACATGTAGCATTTCAGATGTTCTCCACAGTGCAGCCTGTGCTTCACTGACCAGTTTCTCCTGCAGGTTCAGTGCAGTGAGTGTGCATACAGGCATGCGCACAAAATATGGAGAGCAGTGTCTATTCGGCCTTCAGACACCACTTCCCTCCCCCCTCCATTTGACCTACAAATTCTGTAAAAGATGACAAACAAAAGTTGAGACAAGAGTTGGACTTATGCCCGGGAACTTCCTCGTCCCCGCCTCGATCCCTAAACTCTTTCTCTGTCTGTTGCTTTCTGTCCGTCCTTATCCTTATATATTATTTCGCCACAGAGGAATCACACCAGAGCAGTTCTTCTAAAACGCAGCTCAGTGACTTTGCAGTGTTTGTATTACCCGACGACAAACCGTGGGGAGAAGCTCGTCGTGACCCAGTGTGGCAACGGCTCCCCTTTTACACACTTGGTGCTTCTCACAGACCAGCGGATTACATTACTGTGGAGCAATGCCATTTCAAAGATCTGAGCGTGCGTTTTTCAGTCAACGGAGACCTCGGGACCGTTTCTAATAAAGAGCGTTTGTGCCGCGTCAAAGGCGATCCTCACCACGATCTGCCCAGAACTGCACTGGCGTCACTGCAAAATCCAGAGACCGTGAGCTGACCAGGGCTGGTGCAGTGTGACCCACTTGAAACAAACCCAGCCAAAACATCCTTTGCAGCCTCTAATTATATGGGGGTTTCTCTGTATGCTCGTCGAAGCCTGATTTAGGGCCGCTTAAGAGGGGGAGGTTCTGTCATAATGAGTGCTAAGTGATGATACTATGTGATAATGCAGAGGGTACTTGAAAAACACAGCCTCTCATTGGGTCTTTGAGCAGACCTGTGGTTACTATTGCCCAGCTCTTTTCAGCATTAGTGCAGTAATTCATCGATTAAGTGGACATGCTGCTGTAGAGTTTCTTTTTGTTAGACATAATCATCACACTTGATGTGAAGGACATCACCTAAAACATAATACCTTTATGAAGTATGAATAAAAGTGTGTTTATTTGTCTGTTTTTAAGCTGCATATAGAGTTCATAAACAGTGTTATGTAGACAAACAGAGTTTTATGTGCTGTTTATGTAATAAACTGAGTAACTTGACTAATGTGTTTTTATTGATTTAACAACAAATTGATCCCTCCTTGCTTTTTTCGCAGGAAGTACTGAAATGGTGTAATGTTAAGATTTTTTTGTTCTTTTAGTCATTTTTCTTCTTTTAATACTTCACGACATTAGCTTTCTGATAGCCGTTGTTTAATTTGGTAGGCTACGTCTAATCCATCTTTTAAAAAAGCAGTGCTTAATTTGGTTTACTCTGAATGGGGGGATATACGTTTTTAAGTATAGCTTTGGTATTTAAAAATATCATGGTTTGAAAGTAACAACCAAAAAAAAATACTGTTTTGTGTGGTTGTGTGAGTGTCTGTTGAAAAGGTTTGTAACTGGATCTTTACCAGACAGTCTTGCAACATTTGTTTTGCTGAGGTCTAGCCCCAGGTCATTTAACTATTATATAAATAAGTAATATCAAGGATCTGAAGAGGGTACCATATTAGTTAGGCCTGAGTGTCTATGGCATATTAAATTCATAAGCAGTAATGATCCATAGTGATAATCATCTTTCAATAAACTTACCTTGGTGCCTGATACCCTGAGAGTTAATGTTAAAATCCTGCCCACGTCCTGGATATGACTTTACCTGATCTACCTGTTTTGCGCTTCATTCCTCCAGGGACTACTTCTGCAGGCCAAAGATGTGCAGTTAAGTGATTTGGCACTGGGGTGTGTGTGTGTGTGTGTGTGTGTGTGTGTTGTCCAGGTATGCATTATGTGGGGACTGAATGTGGCATTATGTGGGGCCCCCACACTGTGATTAAAATCCTTTTTATTTTGACGTTGTGGGGACCATTTTTTCCCCAACAAGGGGAAACCCAATTTTATAAAAATCTGTGACCGCAATCAAAAAAACTCAAACTATCAAAAGTCTTGGTTACTTATGGTTAAAGGGCTGGGTGGTTGTTGTTGGGATTAGGGTTTTTCCCCTATAAATGAATGGAGAGTCCCCACAAAGATGTGAATAAAAACGTGTGTCTGTGTGGGTGTGGGTGGTCTGTGGTGGACTATCATCCCCTATTTGGATGTCTGTACCCCGTGCTGACTGGGATGAGCACCAGGCTCCCACACTCCCAAGACTGACCTACGACTCCATAGCTGATTGGAAAATAAGTGAATAAGTGCATGGAAACAAATCCACCCTAATATCTCACCACACATGTGCGAAACTTCACTAAGCTCTCATTAGAAATGGTCTTTGTTTTTCTCCCATGAAAATTGTGTTTCTTATCCTTATTGGCTGAGACTTGGGCATTACTGACTTCTGGTGATAACACTCCCTAGTTTTGTACCTTCCTGTTGTATGTCGGTTGATGGTATTGACCTTAATATCAAGTAGATTTTTTCTCTCTCTATTTTTATGCCTTTGTTTTTTCCTGTTTTTTCTCCATTGTTTTCGGAGTTTCCTCTGGGCTGACGGAACAGTAGATACTTGTTCCAGCTTCCATGCAAAGACATACACAAACAGACCTCATCCTGGAAGCTTTCTGAATGTTTCTTGATCAAAGTTTCTATCTCTTGGGACATCACTTAGGGCCAGTTGCTGTGGAAAAAGCAGACATTGGTCTGGAGTCAGAACCTTAGTGCAAATCAGCATAATCTAAATCACGATAAATATTTTATAAGAAATGTTGTTTCAGCTTAATATTATTTTATATTGGTGTATTTAGAGTTCAGTGTGTTCAGAATATGGACTGGTTTACAGTTGAAGGTTTAGAGGTAGTTGGTGGAGTTCATGAGAGAACCTGCTCAGCACCGGCGATACAGTATGTGGGCTTGCGGGGCTCAGGGCTGGACACATTGTCTTTGTCATTGTATTGCCAGAAAGGGCTCTCGGTTCGTCTGGCTTATTTCACTGTCGGGTTATTCAAAGTACACACTTCGTCTTTGATTCCAGATCCCTCACATCGTAGCTGCAACCGACTCACTTGTAATGTTTGAGCTCTATGGAGATGTTGGTCTTAAACAGTAAATAAGTACATTTGTAACATATGCTGTTGAATTTAATGACAGGAATTTTAAAGTAACTTTATAGGAATCGGAACCCTTCCCATCCCGGATATGCCCTAGCCTTGTGCCTTGTGCTGCCCAGGATAGGTTCTAGGCCCCCTGCAGAAAATGATGGATGGATGGAAATTGAAACCATTGTCTAAGATGAAAATCTTCAACCTATCACAGATACTGTCAAAGAAGAAATCAACTAGTGATTTACTTTGGAAAAGTTTTTTTTTTTTTTTTTGCTAACATTCTCGGATTTCCCATTCCATTCATCTGTTGTCCTAACAAACAAAGTATGACATGACAATACACAATGGTCCCTATTCATTCCATTCAATGCATTTATATTTTCATTTCGTTATCCTCTTTATTGATATTGTTGTTTTGTGTGATTTTATCTGTGAGGTTTGAACAGGGACGGACTAACCTCTCGGGGGACCTAGGCTGGCATGGGTAAAGACCATCTCGGGGGGCCGAGGCTGGCATGGGTAGGGGCCCTTTCGGGGGGTGGCGGAGGCTGGCATGGGTAAAGACCCTCTCGGGGGGCCGAGACTGGCATGGGTAGGGGCCCTTTCGGGGGGTGGCCGAGGCTGGCATGGGTAGGGGCCCTTTCGGGGGGAGGCCTAGGCTGGCATGGGTAGGGGCCCTCTCGGGGGGGGGGGCCGAGGCTGGCATGGGTAGGGGCCCCCAGATGGGCCACATTAGCATTTTTTTGGAGCCAAACAAGAATTGAGAGGGAATTAAAAGCAATGGAACATCAAAAAAATGCCAGTCAAAGTGCAGGCTGCCAGTGGTAAAGTTTACCGACTACGGTGGGGATGAGACTTGTATTGCCAGGGGTGGGGGGGCTGGTTCGCACCATCGGATCAATAGGACAGTATTAAGAAGTTTAGCTGTTCCCTCTTTTGCTGTGGTCCTAGGCTGTGTCCTAGGCTGTGTCCTAGGCTGTGGTCCTAGGCTGTGGTCCTAGGCTGTGTCCTAGGCTGTGTCCTAGGCTGTGTCTTACTCCGCCCCAGCGGCTAAGGTTAGTCTAGAATTTTTGACAGCGTTCGTTTAATTGTGTTCTCTCCACATTCATTCACGATTTGCCCGGCACTCTAGCGGGATCCCGGTGATGTAATGGTAGCCTTGTATCTTTGTGCTGTTGTTGTCTGTTAGGCTACTTTGTGCCAGTAGCCTACCACTGGACTCCAGTGTGAACAGAAAGCTGGGTAGCATGAAGTCTCAAAGTAGGAATAGTCCATTACAGCTGGGATGGAGGGCAACTTTGTTTATCTTAACAATGTAAATAAGCGATATATTGCTATAATTGACATGATCATATTATCTAATATCCTTAAATGTAACCTCAGGAAAGTCTGTCCTCATGGGTCCCCTGCCTGCACTTCCTTGTGCTAAGTCCCCCCTGGGTTTGAAGTCAGTGATGACTTCACCAATTTCTTTCTCCTCCAGGTGTTCCAGGACCTTGGTGTGTCTGTACTGACAGGTGCATCTGAGGGCTACAACGTTTGCCTTTTTGCTTATGGCCAGACAGGCTCAGGGAAGACCTACACCATGATTGGGACCCCCGTAAGTAAGGCCTGTGTTTGTGGGCTGTCCGTGACATATCCAGCACTATTCAGGCTTACAGCTCAGACAGCTTGCATTACCACCAGTACAGGATTAAGGCTGGGATATATGAAGTATTGTTCAGGAGCAATTTTATTCAGCTATAGCATCTGTAATCCATTACTATGTCATAGAGCTGACCACTACAGAATTGTAGTGTCCTTATAAAAACCACAAGCCTTCCTAATCAGCAGTTATCTAATTATGTTTGTTGTATGTCTCTGATTCTTGGTTTGGCTGTTTCCTTTAGGCTTCCATTGGGCTCACGCCAAGAATCTGTCAGGTACAAACAGCACAAAATGTCTTCTGGTGAAGCAAACATTGTTGTAAATTGGTGATGCCTAACTGTGTATGTATCTGTGATTTGGGGATGGTTATGTTAGTGTTGTGTTGGCACAAACCCGGTTTCGGTTTGTACAGGGATTATTTAGGGCAGATGGCAGCTTTCCTGAAGGACAGAGCTCTTGCAGAGTGGAAATCAGGTGTGTTACAAAGCCGTGTAATTTTTCTCATTTAGTGCATCATATTAATAACGTAATTCCGTGTCATTCGTATCAGATTGCCCCACTGTTATTCTTCTGGTTATCTTATTCCTTCTTCCCTCCACTCCAACCTGCATTTCGTAGCTTTTTGGAGATCTACAACGAGCGCGTGCGAGACCTGCTGAGGCACTCGAAGCAGAAGAAGCCCACCACACTGCGAGTTCGAGAGCACCCAGAGAAAGGGCCCTATGTGCAGGGTGAGCCGGGGGGGGGGGCAGGTCTCAAGCGGGAGGGAAGCAGTAAGTCCATCAGAGTCCATTGGGCTGGCATGATCCATTATTCATATTGATTGAATGCTGCATACCAGCCTTTGTACCTTTAATCCCATACAAGACAGTAGTAGGACAAGTGCATTTGCCTGCTCACTTTCTTATTGATTTTGCAATGCAGCAAGACTTACGTACTCCTGAGTCTAAAAGCAGTCAGAATAACTTTATAAGAGGCCGAGAGCTGTATAAGGTAGGCTTCTCTGGTTTGGTGTCTCTGGTTTAAAAATATAGCAAATCTTTTTGGAGAGATTATTTATGGCAGTGTATTTTAGCGAAGTCTCTATGGAAAAAATAACGGATCGCGTTTCTTGTGTGAGCTATAAAATTAGTACTGATTTCTAGAGGAAGAATTAAAGAGTTAGAGTTAGAGTTAGTCCTGCCTCTCTTTCCTTAGTCTCTGTGGCTGGCCCCACCCCCATTTCTTTACCCTACATCCACCATTTGTTTCTATCAGGAAAATGGCTAATACAGGAAGTGACGTCACTATCATTAAAATAGCCAATAGTTGCCTCTGTTCTTCCCCCCTTCCGATTGGGGGGTGTATTTCAGCCATATTTCTTGGACTGCACTGTACCACATGCATTGAAATCCTTTAGTACTGGAGAAAGAGGAACAGAAATCACGTGAAATTTCACGGGCTGCTGTAGGGCATCGCTAATTTCCGATCCTGTGTGTTCTTAAAATTTGTGTCCCTCACTTTGTTTATCCTCCAGCTGTGTTTAAAAGTAAACAGGTGTTAACCCCTCACACTCCGCTTCTGCCACGTGCTAGCGCTCGGCGGTAGGAAGGTCCAGGCGGAGCCATTGCTGATGTAGCAGTGCAGCTGCCCCCTTGCTCGGCTCCTTCAGGCATATTAGGGCACAGGGTGCTGCCGTCCCTCAAAAGGGACCAGGGTTGTGGCTCCGCCCACGTGGTTGATAATCTTCAGTGGAGCCCCCTGGGGAGCGCCGGTGCTTCGTAAACAATGACTTTGAACATGTCATCTTTCTCCTCCCTCTCCGAGTCCTGCCTGCATCATTGAAAGTACAAAGCTTAAGGCTTGGTGCTCGTCATTCACACTCTTTTGATGTTTCTCGTTGTCGCTGAATGCCAGGGCTCTGATTCCCTCTCTTCCCTCCCTCATATAGGTCTGTCACAGTACGTGGTGTCTGACTACAAGCAAGCCGTCGACCTTCTAGAGATGGGCATCGCCAATCGCATCACTGCTGCCACACACGTGCACGATGCCAGCAGCCGTTCACACGCCATCTTCAGCATTCAGTACACTCAGGTCACGCTCCGCACTCCGGAAACGCCATCCTCTTCATCTCAGACAATGCTGCTTTTCCATTCGCTAACTGAGTTTGGTTAACTACCTTTTTGTTTTGACATCAAATAGCAGTATGTATGCACATTTCTTACTCAAATAGTCCTTTTTGTTCATGCATACAGGCTATACTTGAGAACAATCTCCCTTCAGAGATTGTCAGCAAGATCAATCTGGTTGACCTTGCTGGCAGGTAAGGAAAATTTGCCGGAAATGTTTCTTTTTTTGCGCATTTTAAGCATAAACCATTTAGGGTAATTTTGTAATTTTCATTGTAACAATTTTTGCATCAGCATTTCATAGTGGCCTTTAACTATGGGCATTTTCTACCTCAGTAACTATAGTAACACTGCGTGGGATCATATTTTTAAGCTACAACATTTACATATTCTGTTACGTCACTGCGCAGCTTAAATTGTATTAGCTTGCCTTTGTTCAAATTGAACATATATGATTTCTCATTATTTGTACAGCTTTACTTTAATGTGTACATTATATAGAAGGGATATGTGAAAGCCTAAGTGTTTCTGGGTACCCATGCTGGTACATATAGCAAATAAAGATTGTTATTATTATTATTATTATTATTATACAAAGCATAAAATTAATGTGCTCTATTGTGTTATATTTCAGTTCTGTGACCAGTTTGCCCCCTAGTGGTTATTTTGTGCATTGCACATAGAGGATTACTTGGCAGTCTCTGGCATGAGACCCAGACTAAGTTTAAATTTTCTGTCTGTGTATAATATTTTACTTAGGTTTGATGACTAAATACTAATTTGTCAACATTTCTTTCTGCCTCATTTTTGTGTAATGCTTGTCATCTCCTTCCTTTCTGGTGTGTAGCGAAAGAGCGGATCCACACTACTGCCGGGATAGAATCACAGAAGGATCCAATATCAACAAATCCCTGGTGACCCTAGGAATCGTCATCTCTGCTCTTGGTGAGTGTGACACGTGTAGCTGGGGAGTGACTGGAATGATATGACAGCAGAAGCTGCTGGCCGAAGAACTTCTGTTGGTGGAAAAGGGGGATTTGATGTCAAAACGTCAGTTATTATGAATTATCATAATAGTTAATAGGGAGCCTGTTTGTTTTAAAATCACATCACTTTGTCACCTCACGTGACATGTGGTAAAGTGTAAGTCAGTGAACGACGTGTGCAAAGTCCACAACAGCAGTGATAAAATGTGCAAATGTTGGTATATAAAAACGGTAAATATACAGCATAGTAATGATACAAGTTGTGCAGATAAGAAACAAATAAATACAATGAATAGTAGCACAGTAATTACTACTGCTGGATGCAGTGAGAGATGCACATCCTCTATGACCAATGTAGTGTGGTAACATAGCCATAGGAATAGGGGTATGAATGTGACACACATGGATGACACTGAATGGGTTCATTGATCCAGTTCAGCATTCTGATGGTCCGGTGGAGACTCCCAGAACCTGCTGCCTTAGGACCTAATTACTGCAATGCGAACGGTTTGCGGATTTATTTGTTCTGTTTTGTCTCTTTGCAGCCCAGAACTCTCAGATGTTCAGCAGCTGTCAGAGCATTAACAGCACGGCCAGTGAGGGCGAGTGCAGTGTCGCGGGTAGCCAGTGCAGCTCGTACTCGGGGGGCGGCAGACGGCAGTGCTTCATTCCCTACAGAGACTCCATTCTTACATGGCTGCTCAAAGACAGCTTAGGGGGCAACTCTAAGACCGTCATGATCGCCAGTAAGGATCCATGCCTGATTACTGATAACAGCCGCTGCTTATACTACAGCTGCTGCTGCAGTTCCAGTTGTCGTAATTTCTGTTTGCTTTTTCCAGCTATTTCTCCTTCATGCAGTAGCTACAGTGAAACGCTCAGCACCCTGCGCTATGCTGCACACGCGAGAAACATTGTCAACAAGCCGCGCGTCAATGAGGTATGACGTCATTTTGTGTGTGTGCGTGTATAATTTTGTTTGGTAACATTCTCAGATTATTTAAATCTGGTATGAAAGAGTGGCATTATTCTGAGGGGACTATTAGTGCTATTGCCCAAATGTCGTTACTGTGCTGTGGTAAAATGGTGTGATCTGGATCAGAGCTGCTTCCTCTTTTGTTAATAGGATTCCAGTGTGAAGCTGATCAGGGAATTGAGAGAGGAGATCAATCGGCTGAAGAGCATGTTGCTGAGCTTCAAAATGGTACTCAACTGTTTAGTGCCGGAACAGAAATGTGACTGGAGACTGGAACATCTGTCTATTTGGGTCTTATCTTTCCATCAAGTCATAGAACATCTTGAGTTTGATAAAAGTGAAGTGATAGACTTTCATCTTTATATGAAAAGTAGCAAATATCACAGCTAGCTTTTTCTCCTGTTTATCTCTGTAGCAGCGTAACCCAAGTCCATCTCTGAGTGAAGACAGGGATGGAAACCTCTCTGACATTGTCCTTCAAAATGAGCTGAAGGTTAGTGTTTCCAGTCGGTGGTATCAAACACATCATTTTAGCTACATTCTCCTTTTTTGCGACCAGCTTGTTATCTTGGCATCATCTCCATCTCATAGGTTGAGCAACTGACAAAGGACTGGACCGACCACTGGCATGACAAGAAGGAGCTGCTAGAGCAGTACAGCGTGGACATCAACCGCGATCGGGCCGGGTTCCTGATCCGTTCTCTCTTGCCACACCTCATTGCCCTGGATCGGGACGTCTTGAGCACAGGAGTCATCTTCTATCACCTCAGGGTACCGTTCCACACTCTGGCACATAACTGAGCACTAGGGGAGGGACACCAATTGCGGACATTCTGTTCTGTACCTTGTACAACTCCCTTCTGCGACATACTTTTTATGAAAGGCATCTTACTTCTTGTGTCTGATTTTTTATTTTGTTAATTTGACTAATTCAATAGTACATCCCCTTTGTTCATATTCAGTGTATGTAGAATATTTGGTTTATGTAATTCTCTTGTGTAGTATTAGCATTCCAACACTCTGTCTGATTGCTAACTGAAGTGCTGTGTCTTTCCTGTGTTTTAACTAGAACTTTCCTTCTTGTCCTCTTTCCACAACTTGCTCTGTTCACAAAAGTGTTCAGGTATGATGCACATGAGTAAAGGCTCTCAATTTGGGCATTAACTTTGACTTTCCTTCTGAATGCTTCTCCTCTTTCTCCAGCGTTTGTTTTGTTTTTGATTTCGCTTTGGAAACACATTTAGCAGTCTGATTGAAGTGAAAAGACAAAGACAAAAGAGATTTCACTCGCTGCTGCAAAACCTAAGGCAGTAATGTCATGATTGAAATCGATAGCAAGCACAGTGTTTTGCAGTTCTGGGAGTTATTTATAATGTATATTTCTCAAACAGTTTTCTGGACAAACATTGTATGTCTAATGAGTACTATCCTCTTTAACTCTTAATATTAAGTAAATGGCCAATCCATGCCTGTACACACCGTGCTTGATTGCTGTTGGGTTTTCTATTAACATTTAAATCTGAAACTTAGTACCAATTTTACCACAGGAAGGGGTAACTAAGATCGGACCACAAGACCAACAAGAGGAACCTCAAATAGGTTGGCCTCACTTTTTCGTTCTGAATTCCAACTAGTATGTTCTCTGTGTTTCATGCTTCATTTCTGCACAGAGTTCCCTGATAGTGTCCCTTGTTGCTCTCTTAGTCCTGCAGGGTGAAGCCCAATGTGAGATTGTGAACCAGCATGGGGTGGTGACACTGAGACCGTTCCCTGGGAGCGTCTGCATGGTGAACGGGCGCGAGGTGACGGAACCCTGCCAACTAGCACAAGGTGACGACATGATCTCTGCTCAGCTGTTACCTTCCTCGGGGACCCACAGTCCGTCCATGTTTTTGCTCCCTCCCAGCTTTTTCTTCAGATGGTCTACATTTTTGCTCCCTGCCGGCTCTCAATAGGTGGGGGGGAGCAAAAACGTGGCCTGTCTGTGGGGACCCAAGGACCGGATTGGGAAACACTGCCTTAAAGTGTATTTTTTGTACATATAAGCAATGTAACATAATATAAGTTATCTTATAGCATTATTTATACCATAATGTAATGGGGTGAGAATCAGTTACATTAACAGAATTCTGTAGCTAAATAAAAAAACGAATTAATGGGTGTCTGTCTAAATTTCAGGGGCAGTGATCACTTTGGGGGAGGTCCACAAATTTCGTTTCAACCACCCCGCTGAGGCAGCCATCCTAAGAGAGCGAAGACGGGTGAGTGACCCGCTTTGGGGTCCAGGGTCACACAAGGTTCTGTGGTCCAGCCAGCACCAGTGTTGTTATAGTTTACAATTTTTCATTTAGTTTTTATTTGTCCATTTTCAGTTTTCATTAGAAGTCCAGTTTAGTTTTTGTTAATTATTATTAATGTCATTACATACTGTTAAAAACCGGCAATGAAAAGTATTGCGTGTTTGCTTTTATTTTATTTCGTTTTAGTTAGTTTGAGAAGCGATATTTATAGTTTTTATTTTTTTAATTTCTGTATTTGTATTTTACTTTCGCATCGCAGTTAATTTGTTTGCATAAATGCTGTCTTATTGTTTTACTTTTTCCAGTCTGCAGTTACTAACAGCTCTGTCCCCTCTGTGCAGGCCAGTGAGGGAGCGCTGAGCTGCAGCATGTCTGACCTCAGCTGCCTCGTACCACGACCAAGGTAAACACCTCAGTCACTGCATGTTATCCAGTGTACAGACATGGTCCACTTATTAAAAAGGAGAACTGCTGAACATGAATGTAGTTCTACTGTTTGAAATTCTGCTCCCACTTAGTTTTAAAAAGCTTGGGGGATAGCAGATAGATAGCAGATGGATAGCAGATGGATAGCAGACGGATAGCAGATAGATAGCAGACGGATAGCAGATGGATAGCAGACGGATAGCAGACGGATAGCAGATGGATAGCAGACGGATAGCAGATGGATAGCAGACGGATAGCAGATGGATAGCAGACGGATAGCAGATNGGATAGCAGACGGATAGCAGATGGATAGCAGACGGATAGCAGATGGATAGCAGACGGATAGCAGATGGATAGCAGACGGATAGCAGATAGATAGCAGACGGATAGCAGACGGATAGCAGATAGATAGCAGACGGATAGCAGATAGATAGCAGACGGATAGCAGATGGATATCAAGTAGTTTTGCAGGCGTTTTATGGTTTTGTCCTTTTCATAATTGTGTTTTTACTTTATACATTTAAATTGAAATTAGGCTACTCTTGCACCTCATCTGCTACAGACAGCAGTTCATAAATGACCAACTATTTTTTGCAGTAGTATAGTGAACATGTGACTTTATGTTTATATTCTGACCAGAACTAAGCATCTTAGCAGGCCATTTACCCTCTACACAGATACAGCTCAAGTAAAAGTAGCATAGATCTAAGTGAATATAGAAGCCTCAGCCCTGTTGGAAATCACTGACTCTGCCTCTAGGCCCTCGAGGGCCCCCGTGTTATTTTTAAATACGTCTTAGTCCGTTGCTAGGCTACAGCAGGGACGCTGCCTCAAACGCATCATGCACTCAAAGCCTTTTGCTTCAGGAAGCCTGCTTGTGCATCTCTCAGTTTTAACAGTGTGCACAAGTACCAGGATTTTTAATCAGGTAAAAGACAGGAATAGTATCAAAAGATGTTTGTAATTCTGTATATAGCGATATTTATTATGTGCTTGATTATGACTTGGTGGTATATATTTTGATGCTTATTACTGTTAAAGCCTTGCGTTGTGAAGGAGCTGTTGAACTCTTTGATGCTTTTTCATGTTTTCTTGGGTTTGATGGAATCTGTGCGTCTCTATGTGTCTCTGTGTCTCCGTGTCTTTGCCCGTCTCTGCAGCGAGATAGAGGAGGAGCGCTGGGAGCAGGGCGGGGGTGAGAAAGGGGCTGTTCCCCGGCAGCGGGTGCAGGAGCAGCAGAGGTACGTGAGGAGCCTCCGGGAGGAAATCCAGGTGGAGCAGCAGCGGGCCGAGCGGGACCTGGAGAGGGAGCAGGCATACCTGAGGCAGCAGCAAAGAGAGAGTGAGCCCTGCTTCATATGTCACTTCCTGAAAGAGTTACGTGTGAAAGCTAAGAGAAATATATCGTGTGGATGTGTATGCTGCGGTGTTTCCCAACCCGGCCCTCGGGGGCCCACAGATGGTGCATGTTTTTGCTCCCTCCCAGCTCCCTGCCAGACAGCCCACGTTTTTGCTCCTGGGAGGGAACAAAAACGCGGAGGGAACAAAAACGTGGGCTGTCTGGGGGTCCCTAAGCCTGGGTTGGAAAACACTGATATACAGCATAAAGAAATAGGTGAGCCACGATGTTCTACCTGTCGAAATGCTATATTTCTGTGGTTAAAGCTGCGTATTTTTATAGTATCTAAAATGTTGTGTTATGAATTATTTTTCCGTCTCTCTACAGTTCAGCAGTGGGCTCTCCAGGAGAAGCAGCGTCTCTCAGCTAATGAGAGAAACACAGAAGAATCTGAAGCGCAGACCGATCTCGTGTTTAAGGTTCTCAAAGGAGGTGTCAGAGACACGGTGGTCGGAGACAGAAAGAGGGTGGTGCAGGAGGAGCTGCTGCGGCACCACGCACTGCGCCGGGCCGAGAACCGGGTCCGGCGCAAGCGGCTGCACTACCAGCTGGGGAGGATTGCTCAGAAGCGCCTCCTGCTGGAGGCCAAAGGGGAGCTGCAGTGCCTGGAGTGTGCCCTTTCTCCTGAAGGTTCCACGTCATCGGAGCCTGGCTTGCCCGTGAAGACAAAAGGAAGCTCAAATGTCCTCAGAAGGCATTCGTTCTCTGTAGACCTCCTGTCACGTCTCTATCCTAAACACAGCCCTCTGTTTAGGTCAGTTTGCGTTCCCGCGTGCAGATTGGAATGAACGTCAGTGTATTATTGTTATTGCTATATTTACAGTATTAATGTAAATGATTTTCTGAGATACCTTGAAAATCTGAAATTTTCATTACAAACGACAATCTTAAAAGAGGAATACTTGAGTTAGAATGAATATTCACAAATTTACTAGTTTGTTAGATGAGAAATAAATAGTGGGGAAGCATTTGTGAATTTCAGTTAATTTATTCAGTTAATAAATTAGCAATAAAATTTCAGTTAACAATTAATTTCGAGTGCCATGGTTACCATGGCAACCCCCCCCCCCCCCCCACAGTCTCTGCTATGGCTCTGTGTGTGGAGTTTGCATGTTTCCCCCCCCCACAGTCCAAATGCATACTAAGGTCAGTTGGAGTTGCCAGATTGTCCGTAGGTGTGAATGGTGTCCTGGGTTATTCCCACTCTGGGCCCCCGTGACCTTGCATAGGATGGATGTGGAAAATTAATGAATTAGCAATTAATTTGAAAGACTACACACATACATCTGCTGCTGCTTTCATATGTTAGTTGCACTATAACAACAATATTTACAAATGATAATTTTGTTTTTTTTTTAGCCATATTATTAGAAGAAACAAGAGAATGAGAAATCGTGCCAATACATTGCCTACAGGAAACAGAAGCTTGGAGGGCAAAACCAGATCTTTGGAAAGCCTAAAGGCAGGATTACTACGTCCTGATCAGCTAAACGGTGGACCGAATAAAAGAATGCCGTCATTCACCGACATTAATGTCATCAAAAGTGGAAAGGAAGAACTACAGCAAACTGGTTCTTCAGAACTGCATGGGATGGACAACAAGAAAGCATCTTCAACACAACTCAACACTCCTTATAGCCCACCCAAAATTTGCAAGTCATCATCCAAGGGCAGCAAAAGTCTGGAGAGAATACGGAAGGTCTTCTCCCAATCGGCTGGGCCCGGAATCCGGACTGCATTGTCGAAATTCTTTCGCAAGCCACCATCAGGGTTTGTGGGTAATAAAGGTAATCAGCCAACCAGTACTTCTCAGTTCCAAGGAAATAAAGGAGACGTGAACCTGGATGCAAAGACTGAACAGTGGCCGTTGAGTATAAGTTTGGGGCAAGGGGGCGGGCATAGTGAGGAAGCTGTGAATAAGGCATCAGTGGAACAGGCCGGGGAGAAACCACCGCATGAGGGATCGCTGGACAATAGGAAGGGAGAGGAGGAAGAGGACTCTTCAGATTGTGACAGCTCATTCTCTTTGGACTCACTGTCATCAGCTTACACCAAAGCTCTGGCTGAACAGCTAAGGCATGAGGAATTTGAAGGTGGGAACAACAGTGAGCCAGAAAGTGTAAACAGTCAGATATCCCAGGATTCATTGGTGATGGAAAACAGCAGTAAAGCAAATACAATGAGGCTGAATTCTAAGGAGTCACTGTCTAGTCACTGCTATTCTCAGGTGAATGAGAAGAAGTTCCTGACTGAGGAGATTAATAATGAAATGTTTTCCTCCCTTGAGCCCCGTGCATGTGATGAGATGCCAGCAGAAGCATTCTGGAATCTCAAAGGTTTTCACATGGCAAAAGCTGGAAATGAAAAGGAATCCAAAACGGAGTTACTCAGTGAGCCTCAATCAAAGGCAAAATCTGCAGCTCTCTTATTAGAATCTAAAGGTGCTGAAGAGCAGGAGGGAGGACCACAACTATTAGCCAACAGTTCTAGTCACCTTTCCTGGTCAGGTGCCAAAGAAAATGAGAATCTGTGTGTGCTTACAGATGCCTGGTCTTCTACTGAGCCACCTGACAGTCCCAGTATCTACAGTGGCTCAATCGCAATTAGCCAGTCAGTAGAAATACATCCAGTATGTAGCATCAGCCTTCAAAACAGCACAGATATCACTGAAAGCGTTAGTGGCTCTGAAACCCCAACCATTCACATGAATGACAGTAAAGATGCAACATTATTTCAACAAGAATACTGGGATTCTGAAAGTGAGAATTCCCAGGTGGTTGGAATGCTGGAAGATCACAAGACAACTTCTTCAATAGCTGCCATAAACAGTACTATAAAAGAATCTGTTTATTCTGGAAGTGGCAATCTTGAGGAATGTTCAGAATTTGTATCAGGTATGAAAGGAGTAGTAGAAGACTCTGCAACACTGGAAAAATCAGGCATGCAAAAGAATGATGATGAAAAGGAACATTTAAGCTTTAAGACAAGTATGTGTAAACATGTAGTTGTTGCACCTCTTTTATGTAAAAGCAACTGTTTCCCTTCTGAAGGTGAGCCTAGGACTTTTAACAGCATGGAGACATTTCCAAATGACCTATCATTAGACATGGAGTGTGTCGGTGCTGATAAGTCTGTAAGTCGGGGCAGTGCTTCAGGCTTTCTTTGCAATAATACCTACTCTACTTCTGAAGACAAATTTTTAAATGTCAAAAATGCTGGAGCAGAAGAACAACAAATGGATGGTATTGATTCTGCAGTAGGAAGTCAGTCAGTCATCATGTCTGCATGTGATACAGACAGATCAGGCTGTCATGAAATTACTGTGCCATCCAACTTACCTTTGTCTACAAAGTTATATAGTGATCCTTTTCCAAAACGCATTATTGATTTTAATGAGGCTTCTGTCGTAAACACATTGGGACTACCTTTTAGTAAAGTACTTGAAGATACTTTGTTAAATGAATCAGAACTTAAAGGCTCAAGCAGATACAGCTGTCAAGCTATGGGAAATACCACTGAAGATATAAAAGTGAAGAAGGCTACAATTCTGAAAACCCAAGATAGTGACACAATGCTAAATGAAAGCCAGGGAACAAGTCAGACTTTGCTGAGTACAGAAACCGTCTTTGAATCAAAAAACCTTAAGGTGCAAAGTATGAACCCAAAAGAAACTCTTAATTTTCCTGTCTCTTCTGGGTGTTATTGGAATGAAGGCAAATGTACAGGAAGTATTGCTGAGGGTCTTTCTGCTGACAGGTCGTGCAGTGAGTCTGATCATCAGATATACCTGAAAGGGAAGCAGTGGGCAGTTGTTTGTGATGAGACCAAAGATTATTCAGTGAAAACCACTAGCAAGGGATACAAGCTTGGTGTAATAACCAAGTGCTTAAACCAAGGCATTAGTCAAAAGGTCTACTCCTTAAAGGTACATAAAACTCTCCAGACCGGTTATAGATGCAAGGATTTCAAGAGAAGGAAACTCAAACTAGGATTTTGCTACACTACAACAAAATACCGTAGGAAGAAAAAGGCACAAAACAAGGCATGCATTTATCAGGAAAAAATTGGAAAGCAAAAGAGCTTCCAGAAAACCCAAAGCAACCACCTTCCATTTTCTGAGTTCTTTGAAGTTAGCACCCCTACTCACCAAAATCCTACAAACCTTGTTGATATCAAAAAAGCTAACCATATATCTGTTATGTACAGTGGTTTGAAAAATTGTAAGAAATGCATTTCTGCTGAGAGTGTAGATGTTTCAGTAGGTAAGGATGAGGAACCTGCACATAATAGAGAGACAGTGACTGTAAAACAAACAGCTGATATTCAAGAAAGAATTAAGGAGCTCTTGGAATACTCAGGAAGAGGCAACACAGAAGAGAGTGATCCCAGTCCAGTAGATCAGAAGATCTCTGAAGTAGTAAAAGAACATATGGAGGTAACCCTTAAAGAGTTTGAGGAAAGCTCAAACAGTGATGAATTAGTCTATGAAGCAACGACTGCTGAAATGGAAATGGATCAGAAGAAAAGTTTATTGCTAGAACAAATGTCCCTCAAAGATATGGATAAGTCATTTTTTGCTGTGAACATAGCAACAAGCCCTTCTAAAAGCATTTCATTAACGTCTACAAACTGCAATAAAACCGAAGCAACAAGTGTAATGTCAGATACCTCACAGAAGAATGCCTTAACCCAAATTCAACACTGTAGTCCAGACCGAGAGGTAGACAGACCTGGCACGAACTCTGGTGCCTCTGTGCATAATATAATGAAACACAAATGCACTGTTATGGTGGTTACAGATGGCAGGCAAACAGTTTCAGAGTCAAACAAAACTTCCAGTTCATCAGAACTGAGCAATCCTGCAAATGATCCTGTAATAGATGTCTTCAGAAACCAGCAGGTAGAGAAACACCATGAAGCCAATCACGTTCAGGAAGAGGTCACACTGGAGTGCTGCACAGCTGAGTGTCAGTCCATAAGCAGGCATAAAATTGACTTAGCTAGAACAGGTCTATGCCTGGACAGTGTTAACCAAGCAGGCTCAAAACAGAATGTAGAGAAGCATAATATACGCTCATCTACATGTCTGTTTGAAAACTGCCATGAGAATGATTTGTCCAGGCAGGTTCACTTCAGCAAGCCAGCAATACAAACAGAGGGTGATAATTTAAGAAATACTTACGCCTCAACTGTAGGGTCACCCATTACTCAACTGAAGGATGATCAAAGGAGTACCTCTTTTCATCATGCAGAACACACCAGTAAAAGCTGTTTGAAGAGAAGTCAAAGCAGGCTAAATGGCCCCGGTACTGAAGACTGTGATGTTCTGCCTAAGTCACACAAGCAAGCCCAACAGTCACACACAAATATGGATATTCACATCAAGCCCTTGTTGCCATCTGCTAAAATGTCTAATGCAAAAATGAATTTGCATGAAAATGTCTCTAGTATCGACTCTCAAAATTTAGACAGACAAATCACTAAAAACTGCAGATTAAATTTTCTGGAAGAGCAGTTATGCAGTGAAGATTCTCCCCAAAAAGTCTCTTCAAAGTATTTATGTTCAGCTGACAGTCAGTCTAAGGTTGGCTCAGAAATCATTCTTAGTAAAGAAATCTCAGATGAGGGAAATAAAAAATTTCATAAAAGATCATGCAAGCTTGTAGATTTTACCAAAGCCTTCAAACAGGAGCAAATACAGGAATGTCTTGCAGAAAGTAAGGAGAGTGGAGAGGGGTCTTTCCAAAGACTTTATCTGAAAAGTGAAGATTCTAAAGAAGAAACCTACAAAGTTGGTACTAATTCACCAACCCCTGCACTTCAGGCTACACAAGAGGACACTATTCATCAAACAAAAGAGTTTGAATTCCATTTAAATTTTCTGCAAAGTTACCCATCACCACCAAACAGATGTACTCAACTGACATCAGTTTACACGGGATCTGATTGCTGTATGGAAGTTAACAATGAGAGCAAACCACTCTCCAGTTTTGCCACATGTACTCTCAGCCAAGATTATTATCAACAGGATTCTGATATTTTTGACATGCCAAAAGATGCGGATAGTAGCTTGGACGATATCAACCCTAGTGGCAAGACCTCAACCTCATCTTCTGATTTAAAGGATTCGTGGAAGCAGTTACAGGACAATAAAACATGCCAAGCAAAACCTCGGCAAAAAGGAAAGTTAAAGAAATTATCTCGATTAAATGCAAGAGCAGCTACCACTTCCTCTTCTGATTCTTCAGCTAACTTTTCTTCAGAAGAAGTGGCAGACAGGCCTGCAAGACACAAAACCATGCCCGATAATCAGATCCAGTGTAAACAAGATGTATCAGTTAAAAACAAGAACACATGCAAAGACCACTCAAAAGACTGGACTGCACACTCCTCTTCACCTTCCCTGTCCTTCCTACAAAATGATGGAACTAAAAAAGAATTAGGAGAAACTCTGAACCACAAATCTAGTACTTTATGCACCAAGACAAAAGATAGAGATATTAGTAAAAGAAGAGATGGAGAAAAAGGATTCCAAGAGGAAGATACTGAAAAAAAGAAACTCGCAGAGGTGTCCAAAAGTGATTGTATACAAAAAAATGTCTTTCGTTATACACAAAAAACCCCAAAACACTTCAGTTCCCTCCTTGCACCAAAAGCAATGGTACAAGATCTGCAGAACTTTAAAAAAATGGATACGACAATTCACTTTACCTCGAGTGATGTTAATCCTTTTATCCATTCATGGCAAGATACAGCAACTCAAAGGCAGCGTAAGGTTTTTGGAAGTGCTGCCGATATCTCTAACAAAACAGCTGAGCTTGATGGTGCTGGCAATAGATCAGGCAGGTGCTGCAGTGTTGATAATGGACTGAATGTTCAAAGCTGCCCTTTTTACTCCCATCTCAGTACATTTGCCAATAACAAAACACTATCCAGCACTCTAAGTAGCATTGAAGGTTGCAAGGAGCAAGGCTCTTCAGAATGTCAGTACGCTTCTAATCCTCTCCTCAAAGTGCATATGGGATCCTATGATTCTTACTGCAGTGACATCTCTAGAAACCTGGGCAACAGCTCTGGTCAAGTAGATGAAATAATGTTGGTTTGCCCTTCTGAACAAGAGTCCTCAGGTGCTGTACATAAAGAATACTCAGTGTTGACTTGTAACCGGTGCACCCAGACAACTGTACCACATAAAAAGCACAAAAATATAAACCATCAGCGAAGGAGCAGAACTGAAACACAAAGGAGCAGCATGGGTGCTGAGGACACAGACGTGGTCTCTACATTAGCAAACCTTCAGAACATGTCTCTACATCTTTCGCAGTTGATCTACAATACCTCAGATCTTTTAGGGAACATGGAAGCCATGGATACAACTCATGTCACAGTAAATAATAAAACCTCATCTTCAAGCAAATGCAGCAAGAGAGACTGCTCGACTCAAACAGCCGTTGACGTAGCGATCCAAACAGACAGCATTATAAAGCCAGTTTGCAGCAAAAATATGCAGAAAGAACAACAAACAAAGGAAAAAGCTCAGGAAGTTAATGTGACTGTCAGAGTTGTTGGTGTTGAGACTCTTAGTATTTCTCCAGAGAAGGAAGACATTGCTTTGCCCTTACAGGGAAGGACCTTTAAGAAAAACACTGCTCAGGAAATGCCGACTTTGCCTAATCTAAGTGGATGCTCTGAGGGGTCACAGACTGCAATGGAGATAGGTCTTCCAGAAGTTAAAGCTTCTACTTCATCCTTAAAAGATGAAGTCGTTTTTCAGAGTTTCTCCCACTTAAAGTCTCTGGCAAGTCCCATTTTCTCTTCTGATCACGTACCCAGACAGTCGTTCGGTACCAGCATTGGAGGCACCAAAATGAGAGGTAGTCTTTTACAGACAACTGCACTGAAAACTCAGACCCCAAGGAAGGACAATGCTTTTCATCGTGTTGCAAAAGGAGTTTATGTTACAGATCGTGCTTCTTCTCCTATTCTAACTGTAGAAGCTGGAGTTACCCAGATGCTCAAGAGTAAATCTAGTCAGAGCTTAGGTAATGGCCAGATGACTGGACTGCAGGAACCCACGAAGGAACTGGTTTTGGAACACATGAACAGTCTATCTTCTACGGCCTATAAATTACAGAAACTGAAAGAACAGTGTTTCTCATACAAGCAAGCAAAAATTTTAGGAGAAAGATCTCAATATGGTGATCAGCCAATTGAATCTTCTGGCAATAGATACATCAGTAGTGTTTCCCTGGAAAATGTCAGAAGTTTGAATTATACCCCTTTAAATAAGAAAATTTTACAAAATGATAGTTGTGACAGAATCAAGGATCAGCTGGTAAATGTAAGATCTGGAGTTCCTAAGCCCCTGAGTATGCAATCGGCAGCCCAAGGTCCTAGATCGTCCCATTTGTCCAAAATTCATCAGGCTTCCTCTGCAATACCTACATATAGAAATGATCCACTTTTTGACTGTAAACTAGAGGAATCTGATAATAGACAGCAAGTTTACATTCTTGACAAGGAGTTAAGCTTTGACAACCATACCCTTGAAAACCACCAGAAAGAAGTTCATTATACAGGAAATGCCTTGAGGAAGCCAGAACCTTTTGTTAGGGAGGAAACCGTTCAGCTTCAGGAAGATGATGCTGTATCATTGATGGCAAGTGAATGTAATACGGACATACTCATCAACACGAGACCCCTTGTGGGTGAAACGGAAAAAGAATATCTGAGAATCCCTGAAGATCTGCCATTGCACAATAAATTCACTAACTGGTCAGGTGTCAACTGTTGGCCCCCTTCAAGTCCAAGCAGCAGCTTAAGACAATTATCCCAAGTTACCTCCAGGCAAGAAATGAAGGGTAGCCATTCAGACCTTGGTTGTTCAGAAAGCCCTAAAACAGAAACAGCGATGCTAACTGACAGCAGGCTAAGGGAGATTGAAAGATTGAGGCAGGAGAGAGAGCAGGTGATGGCAACTGTTCGACTGGATATGAACCATCGTCAGCTAACTGTAGAATTAACAGAAGCCAAGCTCCACTATGGTTTGGGGGAAACGGATGCATTACTGAAGCTAATGAAGTCTGGCTCTATTGAAGAAGCTTGTGATGTCCCCACAAAGCAGCAACTATATGACAGGTAAGACTTTCAGCTTTCTTTATCAACCGATGGCCATTGAAAAATAAATAGTTTGCAGAGAAGTTACCATGTAACCCCTTTGTTCCTTAGCGAGACTCAGTTAGTAGCACTGTTACATCACAAATCCAGGGACTCAAACTAGAGTCATGCGATAACTGATGTCTATGTATTGTCCATAATGTATAATTGTGTACATGCCTTGAAACGCCAGGGATAGGCTCCTGATGACCCAAACAAGGAGAACAGATGGTTATTTTTGCCTTACTTTGAACAGTACATACATCGTGACTCAATAGCCTTATAGTTAGGTTTAAGTATATGATGTTTGTGTAAGTAATGTTTGTAATCTGGCACATATGCTTCCCATCTCATTAATTCTGCTGTTTTTTTAGATATTAAAAATTGAAATTGTCCATTTCGTTTCTTATTTAAATTCCATATATAAAGCACTTTGATAAGAACATAAGAAATTTACAAACGAAAGGAGGCCATTCGGCCCATCAAGCTTGTTTGATCTGCATTTCTTGTATGAAAAGTGCTATTTAAATAATGGTTGTTGTAAATTTGAATCGTTTAATTATTTATTAAATATTAAGAAAACAATTCAGCTGCAGACCGACTAGTGAGCCACGCTACGTTATATCAGACATCATATGTAATGTTCTGTTTGGCTTTGACGACCCCGCCATGGACCTGACCCTCCGCAGACACCGGCGGAGCATCGAGGGCTTGCGGCACGAAAGAGAAGCACGGCTCCAAAGTTGCAGACGGCCACGTAGTCTGAGCCCCAGCAAGCCGACCCCTGGAAGAAGGTCTGAGCTTCCTGCTGGAGCCACTGAATTGCCCAGTCAGCAACGGCAGCACTTGCAGAAGCTCCGCCAGGCAGTGGTGACAGACACCAGGTACAGTAGGCTTGGTTAAGAGGCACTTATGGGATCATCTTTAGATTTATAAGCAGCTCAGTTATTTGCCTGACTATGAATATAAATTGTGATTATGTGAACGGTTATTCTGATTCTGGATATTTGTCCCACCACAAGGGATTAACTTTCCAGGCAGTGTTGTGATTACCTTCCACATTTACCTACTGCTCTGTGAAATCCCACTGTTCTCAGCAATGAGTTCACCGTTTGATGCTCCCTGTACCAGCTCATTTTCAGTACTTTTTACTACCTAGCAAACTTGCAAGTCTTGTGAAAACTGTAGGCCGGATAAAAATTGCACTGAACTATAGCCAAAATATTAAAAAAAAACGTATATGAAAATTGTAATCAGTATGATTTCATCATTTAACTTGGAATCGCACTGGAATTGGGTTTCTCCAGCTTGACAGTCCCGCTGAGACAGACAGGAGAGTGCCCCTCTGAGATAGAGCTGCTGTTAAAGGACTATGGGCGTGCCCGTGAGGTCGCCAAGAGCGAGATCGCCCGGGCCCGTGATCGGCTTCGTGAGAGGACTCAGCAAGAAAAGAGGCGACTCCATCAGCAAGCTCTGTCTCAGCTGGTGAAGGTCAGTGCATGGACTTGCACGCATGCACTTTCATCACGTCCGTCCTAATAAGTGTTCATGTAGTTTTGCTGCTTCTTGCATCAGGATGACCTGCGGTTTCGAACTCGTGTTAGCAGTAGTACCTTGTGTACTGGGTCAAGCCTCAGCCTGTCCTCTGGGCCGACCTCTGGCTACAACAGCAGCAACACTGCCCGAGTCAAAGAGGGCAGCAGACCTTCATGTCCATTGCAGGTATTGTTCCTGGATAACCTTGTTCTCCGTGTGACCTAGCAAATATCACCTTTTGTCAAAAATGTGTTGAACTTGCATTTCTTTAATGTCTTAATTAGGTAAACTTTATTTTTTGAAAGCATTTTAGGTCAGAGAGGTAAACAGAATTATGTTAGATGGGGCTGCAATGTCTTTTTGGGGAAAAGTATTGTCCATTTCAGGAGCAACTGAAATCAGGTAGAGATGGCCAGTCCCCTCTTTTCTAGAGATGGCCAGTCCCCCATCTTTTCTAGAGATGGCCAGTTCCCCATCTTTTCTAGAGAGGGCCAGTCCCCCATCTTTTCTAGAGATGGCCAGTCCCCTATGTTCTTCCACTCACTTTTATCCTGCTTACCACTTATTCTTTTGTTAGATCTGTGAGCCCTCAGAAGATGGCAGAGTAAAATTCAGAGGCTGTCCTCCCAAAAGTGCTTCATTGGACGTGGATCCTCACCGTTCATGGGCGTCTGCTGAAGGTGAGCCTTGGAAAAGTGTATTAACCTGCATTCCAGCCGTCTGCATGGAGCAGCTCTCTCTTATCTGGCATTACCTTGGTGTTGCTGGAGCTGACTTGCATGAGTGATGCCCAGCCATAGTTCTTGTGACACAGCTATTTAATTAAGCCTGATAGAAATATTAATGCACAATTTAATATCACATGATAGAATTTGATAGTTTTCAATCCCATTAATAACCTTTTTAAAACAATTGAGATGCATTTGCACTGCTAAACTACATTCAGTTACATTGCATGTGCAGCCATCTTCAGTAATTAATGATTATATGAATATTATTGCATAAAAAATTTAACTCTTACTATTTTTTTACTCAGATTTTATGCATATGGTGGAGTGTTCTTTATTAAATTATTTTTTGGGGCATGACCGCCTACCCTAAAGCAGCCCGATAGGTAATACTAATCCACTTCTCTGTTTTGTCTTAGATGTTCGTGTGGAGGCCACAGTCAACAAGAGTGACCCTCAGCTCCTGTCCACTTCACATCCACGTGGGCATCACCGTAGTTTGTCTTTCAACTCGATGCCTTCCATACCCCCAGCATACCAGGACATCGCTGCCGGCGCTCTGTCTTCCGCCATTGCGGAGGTAATCCTTGCTGCGAATCTAAGTCTTTTCATTTAATTCCTTGATGATCTTTTACCTGTTAAATTATGTTGCATATTTTTTAAGTAAAGGTTATGAGTAAATTAGCTATAGTGGATATGCTGGCTTTAATTTTTAATTAGATTATTTCTTTAGTTATAACTGTTTAAAGTAGGCAATATCAATATTTGGGCTTTCTCATATAATCTCTATTCAAGAAAAAATTTCAAACTGAAATTCTTGGCTTCTTAGACTTGGCAAATATCCGTAACTGTGTTTTACATTTAGATATATTCTGCTGGTAATGGAGACTTGATGAACTTACTGGCAGGAAAGGCCTCAAGTGGTTGGAGGTGAGTTCGGTGTAGGTGACTCGCAGTATCCTATGCCGTACTAGGGGGCATTCGAGACCCCCTGAGCCTTGGTATAATGGGTGTGTCTTGTCCCTCTTCGCAGATACCAGGGAGCAGAGCGAGGTGTGCACGCCTTCTATAAGCCCTGCTCAAGCCCCTCCGTGCACAGCTTCCTGGGGGCCGCAGAGCTGCAGAGGCCTCTGCCCAGCCTGTGGTGCATGATCCGCGACCTCTCCAAGGCGCACCTGTACCATGGCTCTGTGCATTCCACCTGGACCCGCCCGCTGGATAGCAGCACTAAGCTGGGTGAGTGTTTGAACATCCACCAACCATGACAAAGACCACTTATGTATACCTGAATACCAAGTCATTGTTTAATTTTTTTACCTGTTTTTGAAATGATCCTGGTATACGTTCTAATTCAAGAACACGTGGCCACAGTTTGTAACTAGAGGGGGAACACTTTCATTTGGATCTGACTAAAAACTTCTTGTTGCAACGTGTGATTAGAATGTGGAATAGTCTGTCCAATCTAAGACCCTAGATTCCTTCAAATCTGAACTTGACAAGGTCCTGCCAACTTTAAATGATTAGTTTAATTCCCTCCAAGCGAGCTCAATGGGCCAGATGGCCTCCTCTGACTTGTAACTTGATGTTCTTATGTTCTTTTGGCCCTGTTCCCCAAACCCAGTCTACCTGCTGACAGATGTCTCTAGTTGCCGTCTTGTTCAGCCACTAGACTTCTGCTGCATCAGCAAAGAATCTAAACAGGTCAGTAAGGTCTTATTGGACATTAGGACACTATGCCTAACATCTGCTTTGCTGGAACATTGGAGAACCTCTTTCCTCATGTTTAGGATGGGGAATGGGTCCTGGCAGTACGCTCTCTGTGTGAGAAGTCCCTTCTGCCATCCAGTGCAGAGGCTGTGCGTGGAGAGCTGTTCCCCAGCGCCTGGCTCCTGCAGCCCAGCCAGCAGGAGGGTAGGGAGGTCGTCAGGATGTTTTACTTGCTGCAGGTTCGTCTAAAGCTCGACTGTGTTGTTCATGTATATCCTGACCTTCCTCTCTTCTCTGTATCCCTTCATGTATCCAACCACATCTGTTGTGACTTGGATTTGTCTGCATCTAACGCTCTTTTAACTGTTAAACATGTTTTGATGTATTGCCATTTTTTTAAAACTCCTTTCAGTGTATTTATTTTTTTTATCAAAAACTTTTGACTTTTTGTAACTATTTTGAATAATTCGTGACGTTTTACCGTTTTTAATTGTTCAGTCTGTTTTACTGTCCATTTGCTCACATTAAAAGTCAACATAGCTAACGAACTTGGATTACTTCTACAATTGTATGCATTTCGCTTGTGACTCATTGTCTTCCTACAGCTTGCATGTGAACAGTTAGAAAAATAGAAACTGGATATATAATCTCCTTCTGCCCACTTATATTATCATGCCTATATTTTAACATGTATTGAAATCTTTCTTCGATCCATTGGTGTTTTTCCCCTGGTAGGTGGACTTGAAAACTGCGGCCCTCTCTCCAAGGCTCCTGAGCTCAGTGGCTAAGAAGCAGGCGGCAGTCATTTCTGAGCTGGATGATTTCTTCTCCCTCTGACTCCGGAGGAACTTCCTCTGTTGTAAACAAAAAAAAAGCACTTACAGTTTATATGAAGTTTAATCATTTCTATTTGCACTTTTCCACCATTTTTAAAGAAGTTGACTTGATTTTTTTTTTACTGATTAATAGCACTGGTGAGATTATTTTGATGAAAAAAATACAGGATTTTAAGCTTTATATTTTAAAATAATCCAAAAAGTCTGTGTGTATAAGCTAGCTAAGCCTCCTTGTGCCAAAGATGGGTAGGTCAACGTAGGAACCAAACCCTTTGTCTGGACTGCTTATTGTGATATGTTGAAGCCCACATTAAATCAGTGAACCATCCCAGTGAAAACAGAATATCTTGGTCAGGTGCACTACTCATCCAAACATCTGAGAATATTCTAGTTAAATAGGAACATTATTCAGTCACATTTAGTTGAATGCAAATGAGTTAAGATGTAATCCATATGAACCGCTGGAGATAACTAACATTGTTCTGTTCATTGTTATGTTAGTAACCAGTTTGTTAACAAATTAAAACTTGAGGTTGACTACTCAAGGTACAACAGGTATGTTTTTTATGTTTCAAAATGAATACGTACATCCATCCATATTCATGACAGTTTTGGTATGAAGAATTGCCTTTGGATATTGATTCTTGTCAAGGTTAACAAGAAACTAATTTATTGGTTGGTGAACTATATCTAAGTGTCAGGTTTTTTCTCTTTAATTGCAGTTTTGGTCTAGTTATGAAATATCTCCACTACAATAAGATGTATCCAAAATGCAGGCTTTCTTTGCATAACTGTGTGTGAATGTCTGCTGTACTGACAGTTGAAATATAATTTATTACTCACCTTATTTTTCATTTTAAGGGTAGAACACAAGAGTCTGCTGCCTGTTGTAAATGTCTTTATGTCCAGGCAACCTTTGCTATAGCGCTGTTGGGTCATAAGGCCGTGGATCTGTGGTTTTCGTAAACCAGGAGCTTTTATGTACAGATTTTAAAAATATATATTTTATAAGTATATGTGATATATCTCTGTTTCTTAAATGTTTGTCAAATTATTTATGGTATTTATCATTTTTACTCAACTGTAATTTTTGTTTTATCCCTGTGACATTTTTTCACATAATTTTAAATCCTTCTATGATTGTTACTAAATGTATTCATGACTTTGTATTATTTTTTAAAATACATTTGACATTTATATGTAACCCTGTCTTGGTGTTATTTTAACATCTTTAACTCTTCTATCATTATACTATCATTAAGTAGGTTTATGTTAAATAATATTTTTTATTATTATTTATTATGTTCATTATGACTTGTCATTTCATTGGTCGTGCTGTTTATTTCTTGAATCTGTTGAGAACAACTTTTCATATATTCTTATGTCATCCATTTTCCAACAACTAATCCAGGGGAGGGCTGGAGTAACACAGGGCACCTGCCCCCCCTGGATGGGGCCCAGGTCACTGCATGGCACACGCACACACAAGTACTCCATGTGGGCAACTTAAGCTACTTCATGTCAGCATTCAGGATTCAAACACTGTCGGTGTAACACAGGAGTATCTCACACTGAGTCACTGTGCTTCGCTGCTTCCTGACATGTCATTCATATATGCATTTCGTTATATCTAGTGTTCTGAAACAATAAACAGGGTGAGTCAACAGAATGGAACCGCCCAAATACTTCAAAGCTGCTTAATAGTGGTGTAACGGTATACTCAGCCCACGAGACGAGACACGATATTGGGTTCACGAGACGATATTTTAACAATATTTTAAGGAAAACTTCAAAGAGGAAATATATTACTGGAAAGCAGCCTTTTAGTTGATTAATTTGAAAGACGAAAAAATGCTAAATAATGCAGATGTGTATAGCCATGAGACCGGTTTCCCGTGCTTCACTCGTGTACGTTCATTCGAAGAGGAAAACTTCCACAGGACTCCGACGTGAAAAGATATAAACAAATTTTTATTCCACGGGTTAATCTTCTTACAAGAGTAAGTTATCCTCAACAACAAACATACTACGGTAGGAAAACCGTGCGACTCTATCCTCCTCAGCTGCAGCGTCTTGCCTCCGCTATACTAACCTTTTTCTTTTCCGGGTGTACATAAATCTGCGATGCCGAGTTTTAAAGACCTTAAAGGCAAACAAACGTATTCACAGTTTCTCTTAACCAAGTCAACACAAATACAATAAAATAATTTTAGTTCAATTATAACCATGAATTTACTTATTAAATTACTAACTACACAAAATAAATTTAACAGCAAATATAAACAGTGAAATATATAAACTATATTAACTTGGCTCCCACACAGATGTATGGTGAAATGTGTTAAATAATCATCATCATCATATACTACGGAGCCCCTAAAGTCCCATAGACTGATTGTTTTTTAATTGTGTAAGAAAATAACAAGTTAATTTACTTGAGGCTGACAGAAATATTCACACAGCTTATAATGGACAGGATTCAGCTGATTAAGTTTTATTTTAACCTTGGGATGTCGTACAATGAAATTCTAGCTGTTATTGCACATAGACATGGAATTATCATCAGCAGGACTCAGTTCATGCGTATTCTGAAAGACAACAGACTGAACAGATTTATTTTTTTTGGGGGGGGGGGGTGAAAAATAGAATCTCCACACTAACTTTGGAAATGCTTTATTATGGTTCAACACATAACCTGAAGCTATATACTGTGTGCTGTAGCCTAAGCTATATAAACATTTCTTATACAACGTTCTTCATGCATTTATATTGAAACTTGTGCTCTGATGAGCTGGCAGACTTCCACATGTTCAACGTGAACTTTATTATTTACTGATGCAGTGCATTGTGGTCTATTTAGTCAGCCAAAGAATGTTTCCATGCAGTTTTTACCATAGTCTGGATAAAGTGCATATTAAGCAAGCTGCACTTGGTGTATTTCTGGAAAGGGACACCCTAGATTACTTGCGCTAGGTGCATTAACACACCAAGTGTGGTAGTGTGTGAGATCACTTTTCCACTGCACTAGATCCCATATGTTTGGTCCTAAAAATTCAGTACTTTCCCTTTTCCATGGATTTCTGGTCAGGTACCAGTATCAAAAGTACCTGACCAGCTGAGGTACTTTTTTGGTACTTTGGGGCCGGACTTGCAAATTTGTTTATTGTCAGTTGCTCGTGAAAATAACCTGCCTCACGAAAGCAAAAAAACATCCACCATCCTGAAAAAGACTAGTCATGACCTCAAAAAACAACAATAAGCGTAGTAAAAAATAAGTAATAAAAACAGATCCGTGGACAAATGAAGACATGCAAGCATTAATTGCAATCTGGTCGGAATCAACGAGATGTGGGTGGCACAACAAGAAATAAAAAAGCATTTCTGTAATATGCCAGGGCTGCATGATATTGGCGAAATGTCAAATATTGTGATGTGATTTTGTTGCAATATGTACTGGGATATATATAAAGCAAAAAAATGAGTTCAAAATAAATGAATTTTTCACAAATCCATCTAGGAATGATTTAAACGCAAGAATGAAAATGGATTTTGATTGGCTGATAGAGCAATGCAGAGATCATGCAAATGCAGTGGCGGTATAATTTTTTAAACATATACTGGATAATTTTGAAGAGGAACAATCATTAAAACTGCAAAGCTTGCTAAGTCTAGTTTCCTATGACAGAGTAAAAACGTTTTAGTGAGACTTAGATCCCATGTGCTGTAATGTCCGGACAGCATGAAAAAGCCTGATCTCAACCCAGCTGACTATCACGTCCCTTGAGAAATACAGCCATGTTTCGAATTCAGTATAAAATACCCTGCCGTATGCTGGGATGATGTGCTGTGACCCTGGGTAGTAAATTAGTTTTGTGACACTGCTGTTGGTTGAGTCAATCAGATGCGAAATGCCCCCGGCATTATTCATTAAAGTTTTCAGATCATTGGAGTCTTCAGTATTATTGTAAGGAGAAATCAACCCATGGAAACGGTGGATCACAGCCCCCTCCTGTCAGCCCTCTTTACTGCACCACCGGATTAACTCCTCAGTAGCAGTACTGCCTCCTCCCTTTTGGTGTTCATGATGCACCTGCCACCTTTCTGAGGTTTATGGACATTGTACTTTGCCCTCACCACAGGCATGTGGCGGCCTACCTAGACGATGTTTCCTGCATGCTGACAGCTGGGGAAAGCAAGTCCTTGGAGGGTGTTAGCCTGGAAGGCAGGACTCGCAGCCAACCCTGCCAAGTGCTGCCTGCAATCCCAAAAAAATGGCGGATATATAGTTCCCTGGGCATTGGATAGTTCGACATGGATTAATTGAGTGTCAAGCTTTAACCACCGGTAATTTTTACCTCTGTGGATATTTAAGGAGCATAGTGTACCTTTACGTTTCATTAATTTAGCAGACACTTTTATCCAAAGCAATCTATGTTTTTGAAAAGCAAGGTTTCCCCGTCCGCGGAGCAACTGAGGTTAAGGGCCTTGCTGAAGGGTCCGACAGCGAAATCACTCTGTCAGCCCTAGGATTTGAACTGCATATAACAAAGATTTGGAATTTGGACCATTTCAAGGAACATGTCACTGAAGCTTGCATCCAACATGGTTAGACTCGCAGAGAACAATGTCTAAAACCGTGTCTTGCTGAAAATTGACAGCACTTTGAACATTCAACTAATGTATGGCTAAACATTCAGCATGCTTGCTTAATGTCTGTGCTGTGACAGGTCAACCTTCACAATTAATAAAGATATCAAAAATCTGTCTTTTGAAAATTTAAACATGCTAGAGTGGTCGCATAGCCCCCTTACCTGACCTGAATCCAAGATGGCCCCCGTCAAGGGTATTCATGCATACCTCACAGATACACAGGTAGGCCTATGTATTTATTTATGATAAATGTCTTTTTGTATGTATGTATTTTTGTTATTAGGTGTTCTGACGCATTTCTCTCCTGGCAACCATAAGTTTACTCCTTGATGGACAGACACATATTACTCTCCAAGAAAAAAACATGTTAATTAAGCT